TGCTCTCGTCCAATGAGATGCATGCAAGAATTATATCATGAACTTCAGCGCTGCAAATAATTACATAAAGATTAAAGAAAATTAAATTACGCCAGTCAAGTACAAAGTCCTCCTGGTCAAACATTAACTGTTCATGAGAAAAAACAATAACATTTTCTTGTAATTTAATTACTTTTGGAGCTGAGCATTCGGGTTCCATCTTTGGTGTGTTTCAATATAGCTGTTATAAACATTCAAACATGGATGACCTTTCTGGAAGTATTATTCCTTGGTGCCGTCCAGTGAAATGTGATCACATTTTTTGATAGTTTCTTGTGCTTAGAATTCTCTTTAATTCTTTGAAGTTCCCGCCTTTTTGGAGTGCCTCGACAGACATGCATGGTACACGCCAGTAACACCACACACGTCAGACTCAGCGATACAACCACTTGAATGATGGTAGATTGAGGGTACTTCTTGATATAAAGGACTGTTAGGGTTGAATGGTGTGATATATGGGTAAAACAACTATATGTTGAGCCGTTTACACCGTAAATGTTTGTTAAACTCTGGAAGAGCGAAGTTGCTTCTTCTTCATCAACTTCGCATAGCGATTTGAAGGTGCACTATAGGATAAGAAAGGATATTTTTTAAAAAATTAGCTGATGCATGGTTTCCACTTCGAAGGATTTTTCCCCTTTTAAGGAAATTTTAGCAGTTGGAAGGAAAAAAGAAATCCAAAAGTGAAGGAAATGAGCATTCGCATATATATGCTAAATTCCAGTATATGTTCATGAATATGCTCGTAGGCTACATAACTACATATATACCAAAATCCAGTATGGTCATGAACATTCTCATAAATAAATACTAAAATCCAGTCAACTTTTCACTACAAATTTTCCACTGTTTTTACGCATTTAATTAAACTATTTCCATAATGTATGTCTGTCAAAATGTTATCCATGCAATTGAATTCTCGCTATCTAAGTTATAGAAACACTTCTGTCGGTGAAAATTGCGGATAACCTTACCCTGGCATTGCCGAGTTCGTCTTGTTGAAGTGGTCTTGTCACTGATGATTTTTCCTTTGTCACGACAGACACTTGCAGACAGAATGCGCACGGATTCGAGCCACTTCTGTGAACCTTGACGGTCGTACATTCCGTTTGCTGAAACTTCATTAACGTCTGATACCCTGGGAGGATGACAAACATCAACGCAAGGCCCGTCGCCGCTATCCAACACGTATATAAACACACCAGTTGTTTTTGGAGACACATTGCCAACTTAGGAGCCAAATTTGTGACTTGCATTGTATTTCTTGTTGGCAGTATGTATCGTATGTCGTAAAAGCTATATATGACGCAAAAACAATGTTGAGTTTTATAGTCGTATTGGAACATCGACCTTATCATAGAAGTGCATGTTTGTTTAGACTGCTAATTTAATTTCATTTGTAAATTGCAAGACTAATTCGATAAGTGGTTGATTCAATTTTCTTGTCTTTAACAAATGCAATCGTCTGGCGTAAGATAGAGACACGGAATAAAACAACGCGCATAGTACCTTTAATTAGAGACCTTACGATTTTAGGACGGCAACGGCTACCAATACAATAGATCATTGAAAAGAATTGAAAAATTACAATATATGAATAATTTAGACTTGTCCTCGCTCTGTTTACAACGCCAAATCACAGATTTTCACGTCTTGATACAACGGCTACATTCCAAGCCACAACAAGTGCAACTTCAAACTGGGTTCAGGAGAACTCTTCCCAACCATAAAATCCATGTCTTCAACTTCTAAGATTGTATTAAATACATACGATTGATAATCTACGAATTATCTTTACTACCATTTATTTGAAGGAGTTTGTTTTGGCCGTCGTCGTCGCGTTGCCGTCCTAAAATCGTAAGGTCTCTATTAACCCACATATAGCCGACATATAAATATGCACATGGTGTACAGCCTTTTGAAGCTTCCATGAATACTTTTTAAACTTTTAAATCATCATATATAAACTGTTCATTAAAAAGGGCTTTGTAGCGCAGTCGTCGGAGCAAGCCTCCTTCACCTCTGAGATCGTAGGCTCATGACAATTACCTAAAAAGCGTCGGACAATGAGCAGGGTTCCCATGAAATAAAAGCCGGCATGCACCAGGCGATCTTCACTGTCTATAGCCTAGACAATGGCTGGCTATTTCTCGAAATTATGAACGAAGAGACACCCCCACGCTCGAACCCCTCCCCTCTTCGTGAGCTACCTTCGGCACCACAGAGTCGCCTAAAAGCCTCCCACTCCAAATTGCACTGGGAGGCTCCTTGGGAGACTATCGTCCCTCCTTCCTACAGGCACGGTGAATGTTGACAAGATAGATTAGGATACATGCAAGTAGATTCATGAGTGAATAAAACCAAACCTAACTTACTGATATTGTGGCAAAGCATATATTTTGAGCAGTTGAGGTGACATGCACTGTAGTCTATATGACCCTTCTTACTGCATTGTTTATATTTAAGAATTCAATTTGGCAAAGTGAAACTAAAATTGGTAACGTTGACTTATTCTTAGAACTGGAGATGAATAATCCCTAGACCACCTGTAGTTTTCGGTATGTTTAACAAAATTTACGGGACAGCGAACGCTTTTGTTTCACAGCTTTCACTTCCTTCATGGCTGAATGTAATTTATTGCGAGATGACTTTAAGAATAATGTATTTGCTGTTTCATTCGATTTTTACACTCCAAGACCACACTTTATGATTTTACCTAAAAACATCGAAAGTATTGATCCGGAATTTAGTCGAATGACAAACGAGCAGACACGGCAGCTCATCGAAGTGGGAATATCTGCACTGGCAAGCTTTCGAATACGCGGTGGCATTTTATCTATACATCGCGGATCATGGAAGGACAAGAAATCGAGAAATAGATTTCTAGTTCATCTTTGCGTTGACGTTGGAATTTATTTGGAGGTTTTTGAACGGCGAAAGAAAGCTATTCCTAACTGGCCCAGTGTTGTGTATGTCACAAAGCAATGGAAATGGAACAAAGACCCGAGGTCTTACGCGCAAAATGTCCGGGGGTATCCTTACACCAGTTATTTCAAGGAAGAAGTGGCCGCTATTATACATTTGATACAAGCCAAGAGTTCGTCTGATGAACCAGGCAAGTGTGTTCCCCAATCTTCACTCAGAGGCGGCATAACCCAGATAGTCTATCACGCAAGACATCCAAAGATTGGCTTTGTTGGCAAGAAAACTGACTCAGAAGTTGAAGAGTTGCAAAAAGTACTTTTGGCGATGGAGGAATTTGCCAGAGTACACGGTTTGACAAACTTGGAATCTAATCACGAGAGCGATGGCTGTCATCTTTGCTTGCATTTGGGTTCAGGTACATATATATACCGGTCAATTTTCATATTTAGTAATTATCTTAATCCCAACCTTAATCCTAAGATTAATCCTGATCTTTCCTCCAGTTCAATATATGCGGCATCAAATATTTTTTATTTTCAGGTACAGATATATACCAGTCAATTTTCATATTAATTATCTTAATCCCAACCTTAATCCTAAGTATAATCCTGATCTTTCCTCCAATTCAATATATATGCGGCATCAAATATTTTTTATTTTCAGATACATATATATACCGGTCAATTTTCATATTGATTATCTTAATCCCAACCTTAATCCTAAGATTAATCCTGATCTTTCCTCCAATTCAATATATATGCGGCATCAAATATTTTTTTATTTTAAAATAATTTTGTATTTTTTCCTCCAGTCACAACAGAAGATTGGAATTTCACAAGAAAGACTGGGGAAGATGTTCTAGGATACATCGTGACTACCGGGCCTCGTTTTTACCAACTATGTCCTGTGTCACTTCGAGAGGATTGGTTCACTGCTTTCCAACAATCCAGTTTTAAATGTTTGACTTAACAATCACGATACCTAAATAAATATACGCGGCGTTTCATCAAACAAAACAAATATAACTACTTTGCCATGCAAATTACACACAAGAAATGTTGCAAATAACTAATGGCAATGCATATATATTGATTATTGGAAATTTTCCCACTCATAGCACTACTAATTGCTAAAGGATTTCAATACATGTATAACTATGTATAGTTTTTATATAGAGAGACGTGCTGTGAGTGAAACTCGACTAAATGAACATTAAACTTTCTAAAGACTAACTTTTCGATTCACCTATTCGAAATTTGTTTTAGGCTGTAGGCTTTGTACTAGGATTTAGGGTCATTGTATTAGGATTTAGGTTCATGGTTTAATACTGGACTTGAAATTATAACTCTTGTGCATGTATAATTCCATAGTATATCCTTGACTAACAGCTTACTATCACTTGCCCATTGATTTTACTGCAACAGCATGGGCCATTATAATCAATTTATAGCCAAGGAAAATATATTAAAAGTACCATTACGCCAATGTTTCAATCCAATGTTGGAGTTCCCTAGTGGTTGGTGTTGGGTTTCACCTGACTAAACAAAGTTTTAATAGTGAAACGAAAAGTAGCAATTTCAATTCCAAGAAAAAGCTCATTAATTATAAAGTCAGTGATGACACGGGATATAAAGCACTTATATTTATACACGAGCGAAATATCACGTTGACTATGGAAACGTTCAATCTACTGCCGTACTGTGAGACAAACGATATATTTCGCGTTTCATTTGACTTTTATACACCAAGACCACAGTTCGTAATAATCCCGACGGAAATTGAATCAATTGACCCCGAGTTTTGTGCCATGAGCGCCGAACAGACTTGTATTTTGATCGATACAGTGAGATCTGTGATGTCATGCTTTCGTATTCCTGAAGGTATTTTGTCTATTCACCGAGGATCGTGGAAATCTCGACCAGCTAAGTCGTTTCATTGCCATTTATGTGTGCACGCCGAACGCTATTTGGAAATTTTTGAGCGGAAAAAGAAAGGGATTCCTAACTGGCCCAGTGTTGCTTATGTAACCAGACAGTGGGGTTGGAATAAAGATCCACGGTCTTACGCACAAAACGTCCGAGGATATCCGTATAAGAGCCGTTTCAAGGAGGATGTCTCGGGCGTTCTAGAGCTAATCCAAGACTCATCTCGCAGAGAATCCCTGGGAACGAGAATGCCTCAAGACGACGCCTGTTCGCAGGCTACAGACTCTTCCCACCCTTCTCCTATCCCTTCTCCTCATAACCCAAAGCCTTCGCCCCAGGCTCTACTTGGAAACTGCCTAACAAAAGTTGTGTATCATCCAAGCCACCCTAAAATTGGGTTTGTAGGCAAGAAAAATGCATGTGTTTACGAATTGCATGAAATGTTATGGGCGATCGAGAATTTTGCCAGAGCATACGGTTTGACAGATACGGAGACTGATGACAAGAATTATGGCTGCCATGTTTGTTTGTATTTCGGCCCAGGTATATAGCAGTTTAAATACATACGCCCTCAAAATGGCAACTGCAACTTGAACTGTCATGCAGGTGGATGAAAGTTAATGCCACCCCCTTGAATGGGATACGTTTGCTCCTCCCCCCCCCCCCCTGAATGGAGTACTAGCTTGTTGCGACTCGTCAGAGCTGGATCAGTAACAACTAAACTAGACTAAAGCCCGTTCTCCACTAGGCGAATTTATTCGCGCGAACAGATAAAAAGTAGGAAGCGATCCTACTTTTTCGCCGCGAATTTTTTCGCCGACCAATCACGTTGCCGGATTTCGGTTTTCGCTTCGCGTCGCGCGAACAAATTCGCGTAGTGGAGAACGGGCTTAACTTAACGACCATTGCTTATATTGATCCAGTAACTCTAGTTTACCGGAGAAAACATGTGGTTTTTGGATAACAGTAAAAGCACTCTTCTCACATGCGACTGAGGAGAAATTATGACTAAAAACTGCATATAGTAATTAATCCTGAACTGTCTGTGCCAGTGTAGGTAGTGGCAATAATATGAATAAACTTTCGTTGGTATAGGGATGCAACTACCTGAAAATATAAGGAGCAGTTCGACGTTTCCAGCCAAGACCCTTCGTCTGGAGTTACTATAGCGGGTGTCGGGAAAATTACATGAGCTTTTGTACTAAGAATATAAAAGCGATTAAAAATTCTTAGTATGAAAGCTCATGTAATTTTCCCAACCCCCAATAGTGACTCCAGACTTTATGGTCCTTCGCTCGAAACGTCGAAATTCTCCTTATACTTTTTCATGTAGTTGCATTCCTATCAACGAAAGCTTGTTCAGATAGCAATTTACCAATTAAGACTGCCCACATGTAACAGCACTTATAACGGTTAAACGAGGATGAGAGTTCACAGTCACGCATTGTCACGGGGACATTTCAAGCTCTAGATTATCAAAATAAAGGTTTGATTGAGTGTTCCAACTATGTTTCAACTTCAATAGAATACATGACAGTGTTGGGAAAGCATCAAGAACAGCTAACCAAGATCGCGTGACTGCCACTCTCATCAGCACTCTCCTCGTTTGATCCACCTGATGTAATAATACGTATTACCATATCTGAAATTTATTTTTTATCGTTCCTAGCACCTTCAGATTGGAAATTCTCAGGTGAAACTACGTCAGAGTATGATATCATGGGATACCTGGTGACTACCGGACCTCGCTTCTATCAACTCTGTCCTGCTGAGCATCGACAATCATGGTTTGATGAATTTCAACGCTCGAACTTTAAATGTTTTACTTAAAAAAACAACTTAAGTATATTATACATTTAGAACTTTGTTGATCGTTCCGTTAACACTGGACGCAATAAACTGCACACGAAATTTTCACATTTGAAGTGTTCCAGTTCCACATACGAAGTAAAGGTTTCACATAAATCTTCAATTTCGCATGTGAAAAAAATGTCAAAAAAACTTTGAATTTCATTCACGTGCACATGAAATGATACGTGATTTTTTCGTAAGGGCATTCTTCCGAAATCGTAATCATAATTAACCTCATGATGCTTGCGGTTCAAATATATATATATATATATATATATATATATATATATATATATATATATATATATATATATATATATATATATATATATATATATATATATATATATATATATATATATATATATATATATATATATATATATATATATATATATATATATATATATATATATATATATATATATATATATATATATATATATATATATATATACATACATATATATATACATACATATATATATACATACATATATATACATACATATATATACATACATATACATATATATATATATATATATATATATATATATATATATATATATATATATATATATATATATATATATATATATATATAAAAACATATATAGTACAATCTGCAGACATGCATGTTTCGGCGTTCAACGCCTCGTCAGTGCAGCTTGGTACACGTCTAGATACGTGAGACAATCGTATTTATACCCCATGAACTTGCTCTCACCAAGGCATGTGGTACAATACGGTGAATCAACGCATCCAGACATGCGCGGAGTGTAATGGGGCCAGAGTGCTCAAACTATATATATATATATATATATATAAGATATATATATATATATATATATATATATATATATATATATATATATATATATATATATATATATATATATATAATATATATATATATATATATATATATATATATATATATATATATATATATATATATATATATATATATATATATATATATATATATATAAAATATATATATATATATATATATATATATATATATATATATATATATATATATATATATATATATATATATATATATATATATATATATATATATATATATATATATATATATATATATATATATATATATATATATATATATTATATTATATATATATATATATATATATATATATATATATATATATATATATATATATATATATATATATATATATATATATATATATATATATATATATATATATACTGAAGACTATATTAAAAAAAATAGTCGATGAGTTGACGTAAGGTAGAAGAGCGCTCAATACCATAATAAGTAGAGCGGAATTAATTCAGTCAAGGTTTGAATGTTTGCGTCGCTACTTTTCACGCTTTAAAAGCGTGAAACTCAGAGTAGCGACGCAAACATTCAAACCTTGAC